AAAAAAAAAAAATTAATTTTTTTTTTTCTTTTTAAAAAAAAATTAAATTTTAAAGGAGGGGTGGGAAAAAAAAAAAAAATTTTTAAAAAAAATTTAAAAATTTAAATTTAAAAAATTTTCAATAAAAAAAAAAAAAAAAAAAATTAAAAAACCGGAAACCCTGTGGGGTGGTTTTTGGGAAGGATGTTATTATTTATTTATATATTTATAAAAAAAAAATGCCTTTTTAATATAAACATAAATAAAAAAGAAAAGGTTTTTTTTTTTTTTTTTTTTTTATATTTTTTTTAAAAATGAAAAATGATAGAATCCTGAAGATATCGGATAAAAAAAAATTTAATAAAGTCTATATATACCAATATTATTATTGTTATTATGTTGTAGTTGTTTTAATTTCCTGTTATACATTTTCTAAAAATTTTTTTTTAAAAAAACACTTTAATTGTTATCTTTATAAAAAAAATATATGAGAAAAAAGGATCAAATGAGGGTTTTAAAAAAAACAACAGTTATCGATAGATCTATCTAAAGAAAAAAAAAAATGTTGTCTTATACAAAAAAAAATAAATAAATATATATATATAATTAAAAAATTCTTTCTATTGTAACATCTAATTATTTTTATTATTTTTGTGTATATTATAAAAAATTATAAGTTTAAACAAAATTTGAATATATTGAAAAAGAAAAAAAAAGAACAAACTAGTTATAATATGAAATTTAATAAAATTAATTAAAAACAATTTAATTAAAATTATTTATTGAATTTAAAAATTTAAAATACAAATATATTTGTATGTATTTTATAATTTACTGTTAAAAAAAAAAAAAAAAAAAAAAAAAGAAACCTATTTCTTTTTTTTTGAATTATGTGTTGTGTGGGTGTGGGTGTGGGGTGAGTGTTAATGTGAATTGTACTTGTGTTGTTACAATTAGTTTTTACACACCTAAAATGTTGTATTTAACTATAGTATATTTAAAATGTGTATAAACAATATAACTATTTTTAAACCGACTATTGCTGTTAATGTTTTATTAATATTAATATTAATAATATTACTATTACTATAACTATTATATGTTATTGTTAAATTTTTATTAATTATTAGGCAATAAAAAAAAAACTTTTGAAAATTAAAAAAAAAAATATCTTTTGAAAAAAAAAAATAAAAAAATAAAAAAAATAAAGCGAAATTATCTAAAAAAGAGGGAAATTGAATTACATAATCGTAAATAATTTAATTTAATTTAAATAATAATAATACAATAAATGATTAAATTAAAAAAAAAATATTTTAAAAATAAAAGAAACAATTACTAATTACTAATACCAACCTTTTTTTTTTAAAAATTAAATTTTATAAAAACTAAAAATTTAAATTTAATTAAATAATTTGAAAAAAATAAAAAAATTGAAGTGAATTGGTTTTAATTGAATTTGGTTTGGTTTAAATAAAATACACATATAATATAATAATTATAGCTTTTAAAAAAAAAAAATAAAAAATAAAATAAAAAAATAAGAGTATTTGTTAAAATTTTAAAAAAAAAAAAAAAATTTTAAAAAAATTATTTTTTTTAATTTTTTTTATAACCAAAAATCTAATACTCCGCAACAGTTATCATCATAACTATAAAAAAATTTTTTTTCCTTTTTTTTTTTTTTTTCAATTAATCTAATTAGTTATATTACTATTTAAATTAAAATATAACTAAAAAAAAAAAATTATAATTATAATTTTTGTTAATTTTTTTTTTTTTTTTTTTTTTTTTTTAAATTTTTTTAAATTTTTTTTTTTTTTTTTTTAAATTTTTTAGTTATTTATGTGAATAAAAAAATAGAATTGGTGCCCTAATTAGTTTATTTTAAATTCAAAATCGTTTTTTATTTTTTGTACTATATTATTTATTAAAAGGAAGAAAAAATGAAGATGAAAAATTACAACCACAACGCATCGCATTTAAAAGCGATACAAGCAGAAATTTCCAAAAAGAGGGCTGTTAGAAGGTATTTATGTAAAAAGATTGTTGAAGATAGGGTAATAGAAAGAGAAAAAGAAGATAGACAGCACGAAATTTTAAGACAAATTAAAGAACAGGACGAAAGAAGTGAACATGAGCAAGAGATACTGGACGAAAAAGAACAAAAGAAACAAGAGGAAAGTTTAAATAGAGGCAATTCAACGGTATCTATTCTATCAAAAAGAGAAAGGCTAAAAATGAAAACTGAGGATTTGCAAAGAAAAAAAAATGAACAAGAAGAGAAAATATCATCACTTGAAACAAAACTAACCGAATTAGAGTTAAAAGTAATAACATTATTAAAGGAAGATACTAAACAACAACTAGATATCAATAAAACAACACCTAAAAAACAACAACCAAAATTTTTACAAAATAATCCAAATAGTAACATTTATAATAATAATAATAATAATAATAATAATAATAATAATAATAATAATAATATGAATAATAATAATAATAATGATAATAATAATAATATGAATAATAATATGAATATGAATATGAATATGAATATGAATAATAATAATTTAGATTTTAATAATGGTTTTAATATAAACAATGAAGTAATGAATTATAATATGAGCCAACAAAAACAATATCAACAATATAATCAACAATTTAATGTTCAAGAGCAGGATCAATATAACAATCAGCAATCACAACAGCAATATAATGATCAGCAAAATTATAACCAACAACAATATCTTCAGTCACAACACTTCAATCAACAACAACAGCAACAACAACAGCAATATATGGGCGGCCAACAAAATATGTATAATCAATCAATTTCCCCACAACCATCACCACAACAACAAAAAACCTATTTATATGATAATCATGATAGATCAAATCAAAATCAAAGCCAAAACCAATATTATCCATCAGCCAAACCTTTACCAGGATTATCACCAATTTCGCCGTTTTCTTCACCCACTTCACCATACTCTGGTGAAGTTAGTTCGAGTAATGTTGCGCCACCATTTGCATCACCACATTCACCATCGTCTCCATATGGCAGTAGAGCATCACCACCTCACAATTATAGAAATAATGATAAATATGAAAAAGAATTATATTATAATGGAAATAACAATATCGGTAATAATAGTAATAATAACAGCTACCATCATCCCAATCATCATAATAGTCATCACAATAAGAGCTATGGAAGATTTAACGATAGAGAAAGGGACCGTAGTGAAAATGGATATTACAATCAAAACTATAACAGAGAAAGAGAGTATATAGATCAAAGAAGAGATTATAATGATGGTGATGGTGATTATTCAAGAGGTCATCCATATAAAGGGTATAATTCAAGAGGTGGCTTAAACAATCGCAGACCATATAAAAAAAACCAATTTTAAATAGAGTAAATTATTTATTTATTATCATTGTAAATATTAAAATAAAATAAAATAAAAAAATAGTTGATCTATTTTAAAAGGAATTATATTTTCAAATACCAATACAAAGTTGTATTGGTGATTGAAATAGAAATAAAACATTTTAGTTTATTATTTTTATATTTATTTAAATTTTTACTTTATTTTATTTTTTATAAATATTTGTTTTTTTTAATTGCGTAAAGTATTTTTATTATCTATTCTTGGATTGAGGGTGATGGTGCTTGAATTACACTTTCAAAATCTTTTGACATATCCAATGAAAATAAGCTATCTAATGGGGTAGATGAAAAACCACCAAACATATATAAAGTCGAACCTACAATTGAACCTGATCCCATATCACGTGGAAATGGTGTGCACTGGGTTGGGATTTTGTTCCATTCCATATTTACAGTATCTAACATAAATAAATCGTTTGTTAAAAGGTCATCTTTGACTGATTGTCCACCATATACAAAAAGGAAAGGTCCAACTACCCAACTAACAGTAAAAGTACATACTGGGATGTCACCTTTGGTTTGTACTTTGGTCCATTTGTTAAAAGTTCTGTCGTATATATGTATATCGTTATATTTTACATCCCATTGACCGCCATACCCGCCACCAAATAGCAACAATTTATCACCTAAATTAAAAAGTTTATGACCACATTTTGGTGGGGGTACATCGCCTTCGCCTCTAAGTTGGGTCCATGTATTGTTGGCTATGTTATATTCGAAAAGGTCATTCAAGAAAACTAAATCTGGGCCAATTTTATACATTCCACCAAAAATATAAAAGCAATCATTGATGGCAGCACTTGCATGGTTGGTTCTTGATACTGGTATTTCACCTTCAGGATGTAAATTTTCCCATGAGTTTTCTATTGTATCGTATACCATTAAACCAAAATGTTGATTAAACCCATCAAAACCACCATGGGAGTATATTTTTGTTCCTATTGGTGTTGAGGTATGTCTTGCAAACTTTGGTGGTGCACTTCCAGTTGGGACCAATCTTGTGAAAATCTGTGTTTCTGTATCGAATCTATGTATTGTATTGTATCTGTTTTCTGGGTGATCTTGGCCACCAATAAAGTAAATCGAATCTCCAATGGTAACTGCAGTGTTTTGATAACGTGGTGTGGGTTTTTCGCCCTCGCTTGAAAAAATTTCTATCCAACTTAAACCACCAGATAAATCCATAAATCCTTTCTTTTTTAAATAATAGCTTCTCCAATTTGAAATTGGTTTTCTTTTAAAAATTGGTGAAGAGCTCCACTTTCTTTTGCAAATAGCCTTCCATATTTTATTTTCAAAACAAAAACTAAATTTAAAAAAAATATTGTTAATATTCAATGTGTGTGGTTTTTAAAAATTATATTCTTATAATTTACCTTGACAAATATCTATTGGTTAAATAAATGGTTTTTATATCTTCTGGCTCTAAAAATGAAAGAATGGTCAATAGAACCTCATCAGGAAATTCTAAAATATGATCAATTTTATTGATGCCGTCTTTGTTAAACATCTCTTTTAATAACATTTTTAAATTATTATAATATCTATAAATATAAAATTAATTAGATAATTTATTAAATAAAGTTTCTTGTTTAAAAAATATGAATGTTATATTGTCGACAATATTATGGTTGCTGTTATTATTATTACAATTACTATTATTACTATTTTTATTTTTTTATTAGATTTTAAAAATTAAAAATGTGTTATTTTTTTTATTTTTTTTTCAAGATATTTTTTTAATATGTTGTTATTTATTATTATTAATTATTTAAAAAAAAAATTATTTTAATTATTTATAAATTTTTTGCTTTTTTATTATTAGTTTGTTTTTTGTTTAATTTTTGATTTTTTTTTTAAAATAACTTTAACGATTAATTATTTTTATTTGATAAAAAAATAAATACCACACTTGTTTAAAAAACTAATCACCACATACATTAAAAAGCACCACAGTTATTTTTTTAAAATTTTTAAAAAAGAATAATGTGAATAGGCAACCCAATTTTTTATTTAAATAAACTAGTATGTATGGTTTTTTTGATTTTTTTAAAATAAAATAAAATAAATTTTTTATATTTGTAATTTATTATATTATTTATATTGATTTAAACTATTAATGTTACAAACTAATTTCGAATATATAGTTGAAAAAAAAAAATAAAAAAAAAAAAAGATATTTAAAAAATGGAAATATAAATTTTAGGAATATATATAAAAAAGTATTTTTTTTTTTATTATTCTATAACTCTTGAAATATTTTTACTGTTGTGTATAATCATTCATTTTTTTTTTTTTCTAATATTTAAGAAAAAAAAAAAAAAAAAAAAAAAAAAAAAAAACAAAAAAAAAAAACAAATAAAAAAATAAATAAAATATTAACGAACAAAAAAAAAAAAAGATTCTTTTAAAACTTTTTTTTATTTTTATTTTATTTTTCATATTATAAATACTTAAAGCAAGATATTATTCTATTATGTAAAAAAAAAAAATGCTAAATTTAAAATATTCTTGAGGAATTCGGTAGTAATTATGGCTCCAGGTACTGTCTTTGAGAATTTTTTATTTTTTTTATTTTTTTTATTTTATGAAGGAAATAATTTTTGATATCTCTTTTAATAAATAGATCTATCTCTACTGCCTTACTTTTATTATTTAAAATTTAAGCTTATAGGGAATTGAATAAAAAAAAAATAATAAAAAAAAAAAAAACAATTTATGAAATTAAGATTTATTGATTTATTAGATTTAAATATTAATATTTTTTGTATAAAAATTTTGTTTTTATTCTTATAGAATATATGGTCCAACAGTGACAACATTAAACAAAAAAACTATTTATAAAAAGTGGAGATACAATATATATTTTTTTATTTTATGATATCTTGTTATTTTGAGTTTTTACCTAAATCTATTATAATTTATAAAATTAAAAAAAAAAATTTTAAATTTTTTGATTTTGTTATATATTAAATAATAATTTATATTTTATTTAATTATTGTTTAATTTCGGCTTCTTTGACATTTTCGTTATCGTTTTTGTTTTCGTTTTCATTTTCGTTTTTGTTATCGTTTTCGTTTTTGTTTTCGTTTTCGTTTTCTTTTTTACTATTGTTATCAGTTTCTTCGTTTTTTTCAGTTTCACCAGTTAATTCTGCCCAAGTTGTTTTTTCACCAAAAGGTCTTGGACCTAAAATTTCTCTAAGATCATCACGAAGGATTGCATCTTTTTCTAAAAGTACTTCGGCAAGTCTTACTAAAAGTTCTTTCTTTTCATTTAATAATTCAAGAGTTCTATTATAGGCTTCATTAACCATTTGTCTAACTTCGTGATCGATCATTCTGGCAGTTGCTTGACTGTATGGTTTTTCAACAGTCATTTCGTCATTTTCTTTTCTGAATGATACTGTACCAACACGTTCATTCATACCATAGTGAACAATACTGGCACTGGCCATATTGGTAACTTTTTCGAGATCATCTTGAGCGCCGGTTGTAATACGATCGAAAATGATTTGTTCTGCAACACGACCACCCAAACTTACACATATACGATCGAAAAGTTGTTCACGAGTGTAAAGATATTGATCCTTTGGTTGATATTGAGCAAAACCTAAAGTGCCACTTCCTCTTGGCATAATCGAAACTTTGAGTAATGGATCGGTATGTTCGAGGAACCAACCAACAATGGCATGACCAGCTTCATGATGGGCGACAACAGTTCTTTCCTCTGGTGATAAAACACGATTTTCTCTCTTGAGACCAACTAAAACTCTTTCGATGGCCTCTTCAAAGTGACTGAATTTTGCAGCTTTGGCATCGTTTCTAGCAGCGACCAAAGCACCTTCATTACATACATTTGCAATATCAGCACCAGAGAAACCTGGTGTTAAGGTTGCTAATTTTTTAGCGACTTCTTCCATATCGCCATCTACTTTAACATTCTTTAAGTGAACCATGAAAATTGCTTTTCTACCTTTAATATCTGGGTTATCTACATAGATTTGACGATCGAAACGACCTGGACGTAAAAGAGCTGGATCTAAAACATCACTTCTATTTGTACCTGCAAATACTACTACACCACTGGTTGAGGTGAAACCATCCATTTCTACTAATAATTGATTGAGGGTGTTTTCACGTTCGTCATTATGATAGGCACCACGGGATCTAGCACGACCAACAGCATCAATTTCATCAATAAATACAATACATGGAGTGTTGGCACGAGCTTCTTTAAAGAGATCTCTAACTCTTGATGGACCAACACCAACAAACATTTCGACAAAATCTGAACCGCTAATAGTATAGAAATTAACACCTGCTTCACCAGCAGTGGCTTTGGCTAATAAAGTTTTACCAGTACCTGGTGGACCTGCTAAAATGGCACCCTTTGGAATTCTAGCACCCAATTTTTTATAACGCTCTGGGTTTTTAAGGAATGAAACAAACTCCATAATTTCTTCTTTGGCTTCATCCATACCGGCTACATCTTTGAAAGTGGTGGTTGATTTAGCTTTGGTGGCTTTACTCTTTGATAAAAGTGATTGAGTTTTACTGAGAACATTTCCAGAGATTCCACGAGAGAAGAAAACAAGAGCACCAATAATTAAAAGAGTTGGCATGATGTGTAAAAGCTCTGTTATCAATTTACTATTGTTTGGATAATGAGCAAAAACTTGTTGTGGTAATGGTACACCTAAACTTGTTTGATCTTCTTGTAATCTCATTTGGAAATCTTCTGGTCCAACGATATTGACTGAAATTGATTTCAAACCATCTTCGCCTTCCAATAATACAAATGCTGTGTTGCTACCTAAAGTGATCTTTTTAATATTGGCATTTGGTAAAACAGTAGTTCTGAATGTTTGGTAATCCATTGATTGATCTTGTACTTCAATAAAAAATGGTGAAACTGCACAAACTATTGCCAAGATTAACAAAAGTTTTTTAAGTCTTTCCTTGTCTTCTTCTTTTTTAGCTTTATTTTCTGGTGATGATTTTTCTTTTTTTTTCTCTTCCTCTTTCTCTTCTTTCTCTTTCTCTTCTTTCTCTTTCTCTTCTTTTTCTTTATCTTGTTTTTCTTTATCTTCATTTTCCTTTTCTTCTTTCTTTTCCTCTTCTTTCTTTTCTTCCTTTTCTTCTTTTTCTTCTTTTAATTTATTTTCTTCATTTTCTTTATTTTCTTTATTTTCTTTTTTATCTAAATCTTCCTTTTTATCCCCACTTGAATAATTTCTAAAAAAAGATTTACTACTAAAAATATTATTATTATTATTATTATATTTATTATATAAACTATTATTATTATTTATATTTAAGGTGTTATTATTGTTATTAACAGTAATATTGTTTTTAAAAGCATTATTGTTATTTAAAGTTATATATGATCTGTTTGATAATGATATTAATTGATTTGTTTTAAATGATTTTGGTTTATTAAAAATGGCTCTAGTAGTTTTGATTAGATAACTATTACTAGACATTATATTTATTATATACTATACTATGATTTGTTTTTGTGAGATATTTATATTTATTTTATTTGTTATACTAAATTCTGAAATGTGTGGGTTAATTTAAAAAAAAAAAAAAAAGATAAATTAGGGTTTTTTTTTTTTTTTTTAAAGATTTATTTGATTGATATTGAATACAATGATATTAAATGTGATTATTTGTTATTATAAATGTGATTATTTGTTTTAAACCCACTACTTATTAATAAGCGAAAATTGACAGATTAAAAAATTATAAAAAAAAAAAAAATGAAAAAAATTAAAAAAAAAAAAAAAAAAGAAATGAAAAAAAATTAAAAATAAAATAAAAAAAAAAATAATTTAAAAAAAAATGAATTTTTTTTTCAGCTACATAATTATTATATTTATTTCTTCCATTGATGTATATTTTACTTTTTTATTTTAATATTTATTTTCACTTCTTTTTATGAACAAAATGTTTATAACACACAACAAATATTTAATTAGATAAATAGTGCTGTTTTATTTAAATATTATATTTATAAATAGAGTTTTTTTTTTTCCATCTTCTTTTCGTATAAAAATCGATAATTGGATATTCTTATTCTTCTTTTGATTAATATCTGAATATTTTCTTTTTTTTTTTTTTTTTTTTTTTATTGATGAAAATTTGGGAGTGGTATTTTTTTTTTTTAATAAAATAATTTCCAAATTTTTTTATTTCCAAATTTTCTTAATTAAAAAAAAAAAGATATTTAAATTTTTTTATTTTTTAATTTTTTTAATTTTTTATTTTTTTTATAAATATTCATTTATTTCATCTTTAAATTAATTATCTCTTTTTATATTATTTGTTTTTTCATTAACATATTATTATTATTATATTTATATTTTAAAATGGAGTTTACCAAACTTGTTATTGACAATTATAAGATAAGAGTTTCAAGGTATGTATTATAAGATTATAATAATAATAGTATTGCTTTTATAAAATATTTATTAACTATTATTCTTTTAGAAAATTTTATGTTGACGACATAATTTCGGACATTTATATTCCAGATGCAGTTTCAATTAAAGATAATGTCGAAATCGAAGATTCAATTTCAAATGGAACATCAATCTTATACCCAAATTTATTTAGTTTTCCAAAAGATTTAGAAAGTTTTTGTGGAGAAACAATTAAATTTCAATTGGTTGATGGTAGTCAAATAACTGGTGATTTTATTTCATATGAAAAAGATAGTTCCCCTGTATCTAGAACCAGAATTTTCGGTGAGAAGAAGCCTACCGAAATTGCTTTAAAGCCCTTTGCTGCAGAAGCTCCTGCAGCCGCTGCTGTACAACCAGCAGACAGCCCACTTAGTGGCCATAGAGTTATTATTGACGCAAAGGAATGCTACTCAGAAAAGCTTACAAAAGGCCTTCCAAATGGTTTAGTTAGTATTAGTACAACCCATATTCAATCATACTTTCCATTAAGTCTTGAACCATCATCAAAAAAATTGGCCAAAATTATCATCAACGATAACACACCAAGAGAAATAGTTGTTTCATACGATGTTCCATTCGTTTCAGATTCGTTCAATAGTGGCTATTTCCGTCATATTATCAAAGGTGTAGATTGTAAATCACTTTATACAAATCCAAATCTCCAAACCGATATCCCAATTTCGTTCAAAACAGTTTATTACTGGGTTCCACAATGGAACATCTATAACAAAAATGTCACCTTATCGTTGGTCTCTGAATATGGTAAAGAAACATTCACCATTAAAAACTTTACATGTACCAAAAATTACTTAACTCAAATCACTGTCAACTCATTCGAATCCCATGCTACCCGTGCTGTTTTAGTTTTTCCATTAGGAGGTATCAGAATTTCGATGTTCTTCCAAAACAATTCAGATTTCATTTTAAGCAATTTATCAAAGGTAGTTTTCGATGGTGCTGAAAATTCTACAGGAACTACCTTGTTAAAAGATGTAAAACCAAATACAATGGGTTTAGTTTCATTCAACTTTGAAAATAAGCTCATTAAAGTATATAAAGATATAGCTCATCAACCTTTAAATCACACCAAAACAAAAGAATTTAATATTTGCAACATCAAGATTTCAAATATTTTTACTTTGATGGATACTGAAACTTGCAGTAAAATCGATTTCCAATTTGTCAATGCCACAGACTTTAAAACCAAATATATCGTTAACATTGGTGAATACTCTGAAGAACAAGATTTAAATACCAAAATTTCGGTAAATGGCAGAGAAATTGCCAAATCATTATATCTTTTCGACTCATCTCCACTTTCTATCAACTCTTTCCAAATTACTCATCGTCAAACTAAAACTTTTATGACTCATAACAAATTACCACAAATCCTAATTAATTATTTACAAGAAAAAGGCATTCAAGTTAAATATAATAAAGATGTAAGTATTTTTTATTATAACCTATTTAATATTATAAATATTGATTGATTGTTTTTTTTTTTTTTTTTAAATTTAGAAATTTGAAACCTTTGATTTATCACATTTGGACAGAAATACACAGGATACCATTATCAAATTGATGAGTTCGTTATATCTTGAAGAAAAGACAAGTAACTATTTCAATAGATCGGTAGATCCAAATGTATCATATGGTTTATTTAACGAATTAACCTTTGCTAACAAACCAAATAACATAGGCTCTGGATTATTTGGTTCATCTAATCAAACTTCATTTTTACCAAAACAAAGTCCTTCCTTTTCATTTGGTACCACTACTACCTCTGTTGCTCAACCAAGTGGTTCTATTTTTGGAGGTAGTAGCTCTTTCGGCGCACAACAAGCACCAAACACCGGTTTTGGAGCCCCCACTACTTCTCTTTTCGGCGCACAACAAGCACCAAACACTGGTTTTGGAGCCACCGTTACTTCTCCTTTCGGCGCACAACAAGCACCAAACGCCGCTCCTCCTCTTTTCGGCGCACAACAAACACCAAACGCCACTTCTCTTTTTGGAGCTCGTAGTGTTAACAATAATGGCTTCGGAGAACAACAACAACAACAAACACCAAACGCCAGTTCTCTTTTTGGTGCATCACAACCCCAACAAAGTTCCTCTTTACCTAGTTTTTCTTTTGGCACTAGCCAACAACCACAACAGGCTTCTCAAGATAAAGGATTTTCATTTGGCTTTGGTTCACCTAAAATTGAAAACACCTCTGACTCTCAAAATAGTAGTGACAATGAATCAATTTCATCATTTGTTAATATTCCACATTCACCAAAATCCTTATTCTCATCAACTCCCGTTCCATCAACTCCAGTTCCAACAACCCCAGAGAAAGAAATAGCTTTAACATCAATTACTTCCCATAAAGAATTTTCAAATAAGTCATTTGAAGAACTTAAACTTGAACACAATAATGGTTCAAAATAATATATTTTTTAGTAATCAATTTAAATAAATCTTTAGACTAATAATAAAAAGGGACTATAGATAATTTTTGTTCATCACCTTTTTTTTTTTGTAAAACAAATAAAAATAAATAAAATTTTTTTGATTGTGCTTTTTTTTTTTATAATTATTTTATTTTCTATAATTATTTTTAATTTATTTTTTTGATTAAAAAAAATTAATTTTAAAAAAAAAAAAAAATTTTAATTTTTTTTAAAATTATTTTTATATATAACAATGATAATAAAAAATATTGAAATAAATCATACAACAAATAAGATAAGGATTACTAGGTTAATAAAAGTTTCCCCAGAATTGGATTCAAGAGGACTTTTTAATTTTCCAGATGACGTTTCTGGTGAAGGTGATATCGAACTTAAAGATCCCCTACCATGTGGTTCATCAATCATCTTTCCTTTTAAACCAAATTTCCCAAAAGATTTAAATAGATTCGAAGGAAAAAGATTCAAGTTTTTAACAAATAAAAAAAGTCAAATCGTTGGAACCTTTTTAAACTATAAACAAAATATTAATAATAATAAAGCAATAGAATATAATATTATAATCGATGTAGAGGCATTTTTTTCAGAGATAACAGATAAGGTATTACCAAAAGGGCCATTTTCTATCAATAGTTCAGATATTATAGAATATTTCCCATTAGACTATGTTGTAACAGGCCAATTTACAAGACCAAAGATCAAAATAGAATCAATTAATGTACCAAGAGAAATTTTAATTTCCTATACAGTACCATTTGATGCATACTCAATGAATGGTTATATCGTACATAGCGTCAAGGGTATCAAAAGCGAAGATTTGTATTATTGTGAAGGGCAATTGGCATCAGACATTGAAGTTAGAGTCACTACAACTTACTATTGGTCACCAATTTGGACTATTTTGGGTGGTGATGTGGTTTTAACAATTATTAAAGATGATTTTGTATATGTCATAAATAACATATGTACCGTAAGAAATACGTTATCACCAATTGTCCTATCAAGTTTTACAACTCTTTTTAACAAAGCAATGTTGTTGCAACCAGATGAACCATTTTTAGAAACTTCGATTTTCTTTAAAGCCCTCTCCAATTTATCAAATGATTTGGTTTATTTCGAAGATGACTACTATTCTATTTGCAACAAAAACTTGGGTGATTTTTTTAATCCGCCACCAGACAACACAAATGAAGAAGCAGCCAAAATATTCAACTACTCACATCGATTTTTAAGTGCAACTAAAGCTGAAGGATTTGCGGTTATAAAACTAAATTTCCAAAACGAAAACAATAAACACTACAAAAACTACTCTTACGAATCCATAGTATCATCAAGACAAAAAGCAATGGTAATTCCACAACTTAAAATTTCAAGTCAATGCACACATGTTGAAATTCAGTATAGCGACTCTATGGTTTACAGATTTTTAAATGGCTCAAAATACAGTACAGATGTATTGGTTTATAAAGGAATGAGCAATAACAGCATTAATGAGCATCCAAAGACAATAGTATGCTCTGAATCAATCAAACTAGATGAATATTTATATATTTTCGATTCAAGAGCCTCTTCAGTAAACGAATTCCAAATTAGAATATTATCATCAAAAACCCTATATTTAAATTATAATTTACCAACTAAAATTTTAAATTTTTTAAATGAAAATAATTTAAAAGTAGATTTATCTTTAAATGTATGTATTTAAAATATTGTTACCATTATTTTTTAATAATAACTATTTTTTAATAATAACTATTTTTTTTTTTTAAATTTTTATCACCAGGGTTTTCAAGAGGTTAATTTAGAAAAGTTTGGTATAGAATTCCATAAACCCCTATATTCATTATTGGTCAATGAAATTTTTGATGATAAGCAAATTTCAAAACCAAATATAGAAGAATCAATATTTAATAACAAAATATTTTCCTTTAAGGATTATATATAAAACAAAATTTTTTAATTAATTTTAAAATGTAAAAAAACCAATGAATAATAATAATCGTAGCTCCTACACAGAATTCTTGTAAATTATCTCTATACATCGTTTTAGTTGTGTTTTCGATTACAATAGATGAACCTTTATCAACATTTACTTGACATTTTAATTTTTTATAAAAAGTATCTAAATAAAATAGAAATAAAAAATGTTAATATACGTATATTTATTGTCTCATTATTATTTTATACCCAACTTGCTCTTTGGCAATAATATAAACTAAGTTTCTATCAGATATTTACTATTTCTAACTTATACCAAAACTGATTTCGAACAATTTTTTGATAACCTTGGTGATATCACATGATAAATCTGGTGCATAATCTTTTTATTCTTAAAGTGGTATAATTTGGACGAGATCTGGATTTGTATTGATCCATTTAAAACAACCTATATAATCAAGTTTTTAGAGTGAGGGATTCTGGCAATACACCCACTTGACTTGGTGTGTTATCTTTATCTGAACCTTTAATTGGGTGGTAAAAATGGAGATAAAGTCTACCAAAAATCTAATAGAAACCTAATGAAGCCAATGGGTAACAGTAAGTTTAAAATAATGCCAAAAAAAAGAAAAAAAAATTATAAAGATTTAATAATTTATTTTGAAAGATAATAAAATGATATTAATATCATTATTTTATTTATTTTTTTTTTTTTTTTTTTTTATACTATTAGCCACTCTTTGTAAAGAGTGTTTACAGCTCTACCACGGGGAGGTTAGTATATTAGAGCTGAATGGTTAATTAGAATGAAATGAAATGTGATGGGTGAATAAAAAAACAAAAAATAAATGTAGTGAGTGATTATATTAGAGCCGAATGGTTAATTATGTATCCCACCACGCAAAATACATAATTAACCACCATATTGATAATAGAATGAAATGAAATGTAATGGGTGAATAAAAAAACAAAAAATAAATGTAATGGTGAATAAAAAAAACAAACAAATAAATGTAATGAAAAGAAATGTTATGAGTGTAATGAAAATAAATTTTATGAAATTATTTTCTTTAAATACTTTTTAGTTTTTTAAAAAAAAAATTAAAAAAAAAAAAATATAATTTAAAATTAATTAATTAATTAATCTATAACTATTTCCTAATTTATTTTAAACATCAATTCCAAAATAAGTAAAACTTGTATTGCACAAAAAAATTTAGATCTGCTACAATCAAAATTGGTAATCATTTGAACAGGGGAGGTTTTTTTTTTCAAAATTTTTTATTTTTCAAATAAATTAAACACATCTCCTTTTAAATAAATCATTTTTCCATTTATATTATTTAACTGGTAAGCTCGTAAAAGAGGCTTTTCATTTTATACTAATTCAAACAATTTTTTACACGTATCAACTGTGGCAGGGGTGTCAGGAGTGGCTTGAGTTTCTCTTGTGGGCTACTTTCTTAAGCTTCTATATTTTTCATACCAATCACTGTGTCCAATCTCTTTTAATTTCTGACCCGATTCGAGGTAAGCTTGTGTTGCTTTTAATGGCTCATCCATATAATCTCCACCTTTAATAAGTTTTTTTTTTTTTTTTAAATGTTTTTTTTAATTATTATTATTTGTTTTTGTTATTTTGAAATTATAAAGAATGATTGGAAAAAAAAAAAAAAAAAAAAAAAAAATTTGGAAAAAAAATTTTAAAAAAAAATTAAATTAAAACCCCACCACACACAATTTTTCTTTTTTATAAAAAAATTAATTAAAAAATAGCTAGAACTGTTTAGTTATTCCCATAAAATATTTACATTTCATTGCTGCATATAAAAAAAATTTTTAAAAAAATATAAATTAAGAAATATAAAGCTATCAGGAATTCGATAGCCTAGCAGATGCTCGGCTTTATTTTTTCTTCAATAAAAAACTTGTTGAGAGTTTTTTATTTTTGTTGTGTTATATATATATTTGGTTTGTGTTTTCATTTGGTATAACAAATATATAAAACTTTTCGGTAAGTTTTTATTTGTTTTTGTGTTATTGTGTTTTGGTTTGTGTTTTAAAAAACTTGTTGGGAGTTTTTTATTTGTATTGTGTATTCGTTTTTACCGGATTTATCTTTCCGGTGATTACTATACAAAATCAACTTATATAAATAAAAAATATATATTTTATATTAATATATTAACCCACAAAAATTTAATATAAATTTAATGGCAGTAATTTAAATTATAAAGAAAAAAAAAAAAAAAAAAATTATAATGACAATAACATTTACATATTTACATTTAAATAATTAAAAATATATTCGAATTAATAATATTCACACAAATACCTCCATATTTTATTTAAATATATAATAATGTGTATAATAGGTATGTTTTTTATTTTATAATTTTATTATAATTCATTTTATAAAGTATTGTAGAAAAGTAATAAAATAAGAATTTGGTAGTTCATTATATGATAATGAAATTGGTATGATAGCTGAATGAAAATATGCATGAAATGTATTCATATATTAAAAAAAAAAATAAAAAAAAAAAAGATTCAACAACAATTTATAAACTATATTTATTTATTTATTTTTTTTATTTATTTATTTATTTATTTATGACTAAATTCAAATCTAATAACTTCTAAATTACTAGTTTGTTTAATGTTATAGTTGATGTCCTTGAAAGTTTCATTAACTAATTTAATTATTGGTGATGAGACTGATTCTGAGGTTGAATTTTCGATAATTATTTTAATATTTGGATAATTGGTTATAGTTTTGTTGATTAATGATTTTAAATTGGACAACTCGCTCTTTATTGTCTTGACATTATCTAAAGATAATAATCTAAATGTAATTGAATTTAATGAATCATTATGGGCATCAACTAATGTTTGAATGATATTATTATCTAATAAACAACTATCTGATTGTACTGATGAAGCATTCATAATATCATATGAAAAGTCTACAATTTGATTATTCTTGACTGATTGTTTCAAGATATACTCGATTAATAATCTATTTGAACCTTTCCAACCAAGCTTTTGGTTAACATAGTGACCTTGAATATGTAAAGATTTGAGTTTTGACATTTCTGGTGGATATAAGTTTGAATTTTTACCACAATAATTTAATTGCTTAAATACCTCTTGTTTTAAAAATACATCTGGACATCTAATTGAAAGGTTTTCGAGTTGATTAAATGTATCCTTGACTTTGAAAAATGATGTATTTTTAATAATTTCGTCGTAGTAACTAAATTTAAATTAATAAAAAAATTATTATTAGCTATTGGTAGGTCGATCAATTTAAAAGTTATAGATATACTTACTTTTTTGTGATTGGTGATTCCAATTTAAAACTGTTAACTAAGAACTTCTTGTTGTTATTTGATGGATAGATATATTTAGTGTTAATTTCATTTACTAAAACTGAAATATCAGATTCTAATCTTTTCTTAAAGAGTGATAACTCATGGGTATTAATTGAGTGCATTCCTCTGATATTGTTATTGAATAAAAGGATAGTTTCTAAAATAACGAATAATTTTACTGTTTCTTGGGGTGAGTTGATGAACTTTAACAATTCAACTGCTTCTACCAATGGGATAACTTCATTAAAGTATCTAGTATCGTAACCATATGAAACCAATTTCTCCATTGTCATTTCATCGACACTGACAATACATTCATCGAGTAATTTGTTTATGACTTTTCTTCTATTTCCAATGTATTTTGATTTATAGTAGTTTGGTTGGTGTTTAATTGAATAATTATCATCATCGAGTTTGATATCTCTGCTATTGGTTTCTTTGATGTAATGATTAAAAAGTTGCTTGATAATAACTTCGTCGCTTAAAGGCTCATCTTCACAAATCAAGCTTGGGTCAATTTCCTCTTCCAAAAGCTCTTGGAACTCTTCCTCATCTTCTTTTTCCTTTTCCTTCATTTTTATTTCTTTAACTTCTTTAATTTCATCTTTGATTTTAATTTCTTTTTCTTTTTTTGTTAAATTTGGTTTTGATTTAGTTTCTGGTTGTGTTTGATTATTTGATTCTGGTTTTTTTAATTCATCTAATTGTTGAACTAATTTTTTATTATTTCTATTATGTCTCAATAATGCTGAAAAGTTTCTATTATGACTGAGATGTACCGATATTTTACTTTGGGTTACTGATTTTTTAACTTTATTATTATCCATTTTAAAAATATTGATTTAATAATAAAAATTTTAAAACAAATGAAAAAAAATAAAAAAATTATTAATATCTTTTAATTTGAAAAAAAAAAAAAAAAAAGAAAAAAAAAAAACAATATTTTTCGGTTTTATGAAAAATAATAAAAAAATAATAAATAAATAAATAATTAAACAATCCAAAAAAACAAAAAAACAAAAAAAAATAAAAAAATAAAAAAATGATTAGTTAAATATAAAATAATTTATTTTATTATTTTTTTATTTTTCTTTTATAAAATTAGGTGAAAATATTACTGTCTGTGATTATTTTTAATGATACTACAAATTTTAAATTTTAAAATCTTGATCTTAAACGTTTTTGATGAGTATTTTCATAAATATATGTAAAGGATAATGGATTGCTAAAGTTTCTTCCATCATTTGTAATTACAACTTGAACTGGTAGCTCTGTACCTTCGGGTGAATTGAAACCAGGTGGAATTGGGTAGGGTGGGAGAGTGAAGAATAAAACTGATTCACTATACAATTCGATATTTGATGCTGCTACATCGCCATGTGGTGTATGGAATATGCATTTTAAAGAGTTACAACGAATGAATGGTGAACCAACTACGTGCATTTGATCACCACCTAAAGTTGTGCCTCTATTGGAGCTGAGGGTTCTGAGTGTTACATTTCTTCTTCTTGAAAGTACTTTTTGGTTGGAATATGCATAAAATGGTCTTGATCTCTTTATAAATGGTCCATTGGGTGTGGTATATATTCTATTGTCTTCTGATATTAAAACGTACTCTAAACAAAATTCGTTTTCACGGTGCTTGGTTGATGCTTCTGTCATAGATAGGCTATCGAAAGCTACCTTTCCATCTTTACCAATAACACCAATTTTATTTCCACCTAAAATGAATTGTGAGGGTCTTTCTGTAGTTGAATTTGCATATGCAAGTTGTGCTAAAACTCCACCCACTTTATTTTTTGCTAAATCACCTACAACACGAATAACTGAATTAAATGTTCTACGGTCATTTGGTGTTCTGGTTCTGACATCTGATGGTGGTTGCTGTTCAATTATAATATCTAAATCACCAATTATCATAATGGGTGGCTGTGCCATCGGTATAAAGTTATTGCCAGTTGTTGTGGTTGTAGTTGATGTGGTTGTTGCTTGTTGGCCTAATAGATTGGTTGTGGTTGTAGTTGTTGGTGATAATGTTGTATTGGTTGTGGTGGTTGTATAGCTATTATTTCCATATAATAATGGTGATCCTAATAAATTGGAGTCGTTTGTAGTTAAATTATTTGGATTTAATTGTGTTAAATAAGGTGAGTTGGCAATTTGGCTGTGTATATCGTTTGAAACAGTAGATGGTAATTGTTGCTGCTGTTGCTGCTGCTGTTGTTGTTGTTGTGTATTAATTAAATCATGGTATAAGGAAATATTATTATGTACAAGTGGTGTTGATGTTGATGTTGGTGTGATAACTGGTGATGATGTTGATGAAGATGGAGATAGTAACTCCATTTCGTTTGGTGTAGTTAAATTTACAATGCCGTGTTGTTGGTTTGCATTATTGGTGTGTATATATATTGATCTATTTCCATTGTTTGTGGTTGTAGTGGTTGTAGTCTGTGGTAAAATTTGATAAGGTTGTAAAAATTGGTTTGCTGGTTGATAGTTATGATGAAGATTGTGAATATTTAGTGATGGGTTAGCTACTGAATTTAATGGTGCTGATTGAATTGGTATTATAGTGTTTTGTTGCTCTTGTTCTTGTTTAATTTGATATTGATGCTGTTGTTGTTGTTGTTGAAGGTGATGATTAATTAATTGATGATGTACAGAATTTATCATCATTGATGGAGCAGTAGTTTGAACATCACCACATTGAGGTGGGCTTGTTGGCATTGACTCCATAATAGAGGTCAATGGTCCATTGCTACCTGGAATTGGTGAGCTGTTTGAGGTTAGTGATGACGAGGTTTGACCTGTGCTTGATGGTGCTGTATAGTAATATAATGAGTTTGGGTTAAATGCAGAATGCTGAATTAACTGTTGAATATTTTCAGCTGCAGAGTTTTGAATTTCGGTTGGTGTTGGGATTGATGATAAAATTTGTTGAGTTGGTAATGATAACATTGATGGTAAACCACCCATTCCATTATTACTATTATTGTTTTGTATATTTGTTGTTGTTGTGGCTGTTGTTGCTGTAGTGGGATTAATTCTACTATTTAAACTATTGTTAATTAGTTGATTGATTCCAGTTACTCCACTCGAACTTGTGCCTATATCTTGTTGTTGTTGTTGTTGTTGATGATGATGATGAATTCCCGACATATTGGTTGAAGTATTATTTGGTATTAAGTTATTACTATTACTATTATTGGTATACAAGGGTGGTGATTGAGGTTCCATTTTTATTTGTAACGCTTCCATGTTATTTTGATCTAAAAAATTTTCAAAAATTCCTGAATCGTCCATATTATTAAATATTGTTATGATTTCTGCTGCTAAATATAATTAACATAGAGTTTTATTTTATATAGTACTATATATGATTTTTATTATAGTTGTTTAAGGTGGAAAGTTTTTATTTTGTAAAAAAAAACAAAATGGTATTAAATTAGACACAGACACTTTAAAAGAAAAATAAAAATAAAAAAATTTTAAAATTTTAAATTTTGTTTTTATATAAATAGTTTTTATTTCTTTTTTTTATTTATTTTTTTTATTTTTTTTTTTATACAAAAACAAAGATTTGTTGATCAAAAAATTTATTTTTGTAGTAAAAACAGTGTGTCTTTAAAAAATTATGTGTATAGGATTATTTTATATGAAAAAAAAAAATAATATTAAAAAAAATTTTAAAAATCAAAAAAGAAAGAAAAAAATTAAAAAAAAAAAAGATTTTTTTTAAAAAAAAAAAAAAAAATTAAAAAAAAAAAAAAATTATAACCTGGTTTTTTTATGATTTTCTGTTGTCATAAGATAACGATTATTTAAAATGGTTTCTAATTAAAATCATAAATATCTTTTTTTTATTTTTATTATTTTTTGGATAAAGCATACATTCATAAATATATATTTAACAATAAATAAAAAGAATACAAGAATTCTATTTTTGTTTTTTTTTTTTTTTAACAAAAGTATATCATAAATTAATAAAAAATAATTATATTTTATTTTTTTTTTTGAAAAAAAAGTGTGAAAAAAAAAAAATTTAATTATTTTTTTTAATTTTTTTAACACAATGAATTTTTATCTGCATAGTTAGCATTAATATTTATTTTATAATAAAAGTAATAAAAAATTGATATGAGTAATAATAGTAATAATATTAAAACTATAAGATTGTTGTTTCAAGAATGGCAAGGTGGTAATAATAAATTATATTATTTTGGGTCAAAACTTTTAGAATGGTTATCTCCTGAAAGCGACTCTCAATTATTTCAGGTACCTGTCAAAGATCCATCCGCTTATAATGATAAGGAACCTAGCTTGGAGAATGGTATCGTTTATCGTTCAGAAATAATCAAACACATTCAAGAAGTACTAAAAATATTAGAAAGAGAGAATCCTGATAAAGTTGTAACTTTTGGTGGCGATTGTTCAGTTAGTCAAGTGCCATTTGATTGGTTAAATGGAAAATACGAAAATAAAGTTGGCATATTATGGATTGATGCTCACCCAGATATTAAAACAACAAATGATTATTATCATTCGCATGCAATGGTATTGGGTAACCTTTTGGGGGAGGGTGATAAAGAACTATCATCTCTAGTAAAAAACAAATTTAAACCAAATAAAGTTATGTATGCAGGGTTAGTAGAGCAAGGATTAACAGATCAGGAGAAGGAGGTAATTGATAGATTACAATTAAGAATTGCATCACCCGAATCACTCGTTAGCAATAGTAATCTAATTTTCAATTGGATTAAAGAAGAAAACATTAGCCATATAGCAATTCATTTAGATTTGGATGTATTAAACCCCGATTTATTTAGAAGCCTATTATTTGCTGATCCAAACCCTGTTATTAATTGGAGAGAAATCGCTCCATATGGCAAAATGACCCTTTCTCAAATTTCAAGAATCATTAATGATGTATCATCGGTTTCCAATGTTGTAGGTCTTTCAATATGCGAACATCTTCCATATGACGCATGGAATCTTAAACAAATGTTATCTAGTTTTCCAATTTTAAACGGAAAATAAATTACCAAAAAATTAAAAATAAAAAAAAATAAAAAATAAAAAATAAAAATAAAGTCAATATTATATATATTTATATAAATCTCTTTTTTTAATTTTGGAATTTAAGATTTAGAAATATAAAGGGTGTGTAGATTCAATAAAAAAAAAATTAAAAAAAATTAAAAAAAATTAAAAATTATAATTTATTTAATTTTTTTTTTTTTAAGAATCTTAAATGAAATAGAATTTTAATTTATAAAATAGTTTTTTTATTTTAAAATAAAATAGAATTTAAAATAAAATTTATTTAATTAAATTTAAAATTATTTAAAATTATTTTGTTTTTTTTGTAAAATAAATTTTGTATTTATTTTTTTTGATTTCTTCCATTTTTTAATTAAAACCAAATAAACCTACAAAAGCACAGAAAAGCAATAATAACCGCGACAACAACAAACACAATCTTTACAAAAAGTAGTTTATATTAAGATTGTAATAAAACTACCTTACACCATTTTAAAAACTGCTGTTATTATTTTAAAATAAAAATAATAATTATTTCAATTTATAAATAATAATAAAATAATTTTTTAAAAAACAATAATAATTATTAGATCAGCTTTTAATTAAAACATATGTAAATATCTTTTTTTTATAATACGTTAAATTAAACAAAAAACAATTTAATATAAAAACAAAAAAACGAACCATAACAACACCACACACAATTTTTTTATTTATTTATTTATTTTTTTTATTTTTTTTATTTTTTTATTTTTTTTATTATTATTTATTATTATTTAACTCTATCTTAGCGAAAATAAATTGTTTTTATATTTTATAGATAAACTAAAACAATTCACAATTTCTTATAAAAATTAAATTATAGTATTATATTTATTGTAAAAATAAATAAATAAATAAATAAATAATAAAAATAATAAAATAAAATTAAAAATAATATTTAATTTAAAAAATAGTTTTTTTTTTTTTTTTTTTTTTTAAAAAACACACACTTTTAACAAACCCACCCAATTTACTCCAAAATAGATCTAATCTAATAAAATTTATATAAACATATATTGTTTTATTGGACGGTGTAATTTTTTAAATATTCTTTATAACTTTTTTAAAGTAATTAATTTTATTGGCTGTAGAGATAATAATAACTTTAACATACACACACACACACCAATACAAATACAATAATATCTTAATCCCATTTAAATTTTAATAATTTCAAAAAGATAGTATAATTTTTTTTTTTCTTTTCTTTTCTTCAATATTTTATATTTTCCCCCTTCAAAATTTTTATTTTAATAAACAAGTATATTTATTATTTATTAATTAATATTAACATTATTGTTATTATAAATACTTTTAAATTATTGTTATATACTTAAGAACGAAAAATATGAGTTCTATAAATCATATTGAATCACATTTTTTATCAAGTAATAACCAAGTACCGATGCAATCAACAAGTCCTTTATCATTTTTAGAAAATATAGATAGGTAAATATTTTATGAATAAATTAATAGTTTTTTTTATTTTTCTAAATTTTTTTTCTAAAATTTAAATTTATATAGATTATTAAATCTAACCAAATCAACATATAGTGGTATCCAATATACAGGTATTAGAGGATTAAATGATTTCTCATGTACAAGCTTCAAACTATTGGTAGTTGTATTCAGCAAATATAGATCGATGATACCAATTTTCAAATTAATAAATTGTTCAGAAGAAAAAGTTAGATCAGAAACACTTTCATTATTATGGAATTTTTCAGCAGAGGGTAAATATATACAGTTTATTAGTTTATTAAAAAATAGTTATATTCTAATTACTTTAAAATTTTTATAGAAAGTTTAAAAGTTAAAATGTTTGAAGAGAATATTTTAAGTTATCTTTGTGGATTATTCCAATATTCAGATGAAAATTTATTATTAAGAACCTCAGCTATCATTCAAAATTTATCAGAATTTAGATTCGAAAAAGGAGCAATTAATCAAAATCAAATAAAGATAGCAAGATATCAAGATTTATTAAAAACAATAATAGAAAGATCCAAACATGATGATGTTAGAATCAAATTTCTCAGTTGTAATACCCTTTGTAATTTATCAATGAACGAAGAGAATAGAAAATTATTTCAACAAATGGATATATTTAATACAATTATAGGGGCATTCAATAACAATTATATCAATGATATTGAACTTCCCTCATCTTTTAATTGGGTAACACTGCAACCATTAATGGGGTTAATTGGTAGCAAGGATCAAGAAGTACAAATATTTATTTTATATTGTTTACACAGTTTCTCTTTATCAGAAAAATATAATAAAAGATTATGGAAAGTTTTAGCAAACAATCACGGTATTGAAAGTTTATTAAAATTAAAAAAATCAAAGAATCACTTGGTCAAAGAACTAGCCACTAAAATATGTTCAACTTTAAATATAGGTAAATATAAACTATTAATTTAATACAATAATTATGTAATAGAAACTAATATTAATATTTGTTTTAAATTTAGAAAAACAAAAAATAGAAACAATTAAATATGACTCTAATGTTTGTCTAGAAAATGAAATTTCTAAACTATTTAACAACTCATCAATGTTTCCAGATTTATATATATCATCGAATGGTAGAGAGGGTTATTATTTACATAAGTCAATATGTGTATCAAGATGTCCAAAATTAAAAATTATTCTCGACTATAAATTAAATAATATAGGTAATGATTCATCAAAATTAAAAGATAGTACAGGAATAGAAGACCAATTTTTAAACAATAGTAATATTGGTAAAAAAATCAAGAACAATTATATTCATTCAAACAATAATAACAATAATAATTGTAATAATAGTAATAATGATAAAATTATTAAAAACGAATTTATTAGTAATATTCAAGTAATAGAATTGGAGCAAGATCTTTATGACATATTCTTTGAAATTTCAAAATGGATATATAGCATCCACCCAAATATTTCGTCAGAGAAGTCAGCAAAATCAATAATGGAAATAGCATACTACTTGGAATTGTATGATGTAGTTTCAGAATGTGAATATTCTTTATGGCATCATATTGAATTAGAAAACTGTTCAGAAGTATTAGAGCTCTCATTAAAATGCAATGCTAAGCAATTGGAAAAAGTATGCTTAGAATTCATCCTCAGAAATATTCACAGTTTATATTTTGGTGATTTAGAAAACTTTAAAAACCATTCATATAATTGGGAAACTGATATCAACGCTTTCTGGTATGGAAATAATTGGACTGAAAGATGTAAGAAATTCATTGTTGATCAATATCAATTACAACAACAACAATTCAAAACCGAAATACAAGAATTAAATTTAGCAGCCTCAGCTTCAAACAATAGCCAAGATTTTTTTAGATTTTAATTATTAAAAAAAACCATATAAAATAATTATATTTCAAAACTAATAAAAATAATAATAATAATAATAGTAATAATAAAATGTTTGAAACATTTTATTTTAAAATGTATAATATTAAATAAATCAATCAAAAAACTAATTTATATAAATAGGTAATACTTTTTATATATAGAAAAAAAAAAATTCTTTTTTTGTCTTTAGATTTATTAATGTATGTTTTGGTGTAGTGTGATGTGGGGTTGTGTGGTTTGTTTTTAAACGACTGCACACCAAATGCAGATGATTTTTTTAAAATTAAAAAAAAAAAAAAAAAAAAAAAAAAAAAAAAAAAAAATTTTTTAATTTTTTAAAAAAAATTTTATTTATATTTTTTTTAATTAATAACAAAAAAATTTCTTATAAATTTTAAATTATCGTACTTTTTTTTTTTTTTTTTTGATATTGTCATTATTTATAAATATACAAATAATAAGTATACTTGTTATTGTTTTTATTATTATAACAAGCCCAATAATAAATAAAATAAAAAACAAATAAATACATAAATAGATAAATAAATATATAGCAACAATATATAATGTCTTTTAAATTTGACCCAGCTCTTTTAGAAAGAAGAGCCGTCAAAGTAGTAGAAGGTATGGATACTACAATATAAATATTATTACATTAAACATTACAAAATAAATATTAAAATTATATGTTATAGTTGATACAAGATATAGAGCACCCGAAAATCTTTTAGCAGCAGCATCAAGAAAAAAAACCCATTCAGTTTTAGAGGATAAACCTAAAGTTCCTAAACCTAGAGCTGAGGGTAGTGGCGAAAGAAAACCAAGATCTTCATCTAGCGATAACAAAACAAGTTATAAAAGTAGTGGTACTACAGATAAAGTAAATATTATTAAAAATCCATGTTAATATTAATATCTATCAAAATTATTCTAATAATATTATTTTTTAAATTCAGAAACCATTACCTCCACCAACAAAAATTATAGATAAATCAAATCCCATATGGAATATACCCTTAAAAAAAAAAGATATACCGATTGATGACGATGACGAGGAGGATGAAAAAGAAAAAAAGAGAAGATTTATAAAACCTACAACTACAACCACAACCGCAGTAACATCAACATCTAGCAAACCAAATATAACAGGCGATTTATTTAGAACAAATACTCCAACTAAACCAACAAGTAATTCAAATCCTCCAAAAGCAACTACAACATCAGCATCAACTTCATCATCAGCCTCATCAAGTTTAAATAAAAACAAAACAACAACTACAGGCTCTTCATCATCAGCCAAATCGACACCACGTGCAGCACCTAAACCAGTGGAAAAGAAACCACCACTTTCCGGATCAATGTATCCAACGCAAGCAACACCAAATAAAAATATAACTTTACAAACACCAGGATCCGGTATTATGAATATGGGTAACAGTGGAAATACATATATAAGAAAAGAATCATATTTAGATAAATACGGCGCATCATCAGACACATCATCAGATTCAAAGAATATCTTAGGTACAACCCTACCAAACGCAAAACTAACAGCTCCCACCAAAAAAACAGGCCCAACTATAGTGGATACTAAACTACCCACAGCAACTGGTGGACTTAAATACTCATCAAACCACCCTTTAAATAATGGTAAACAGATAACCTCCTCATCGAATAAACTACCAGCTTCAAATAAAAGAAAGAACTATTCAGACGATGAATCAGACGAAGATTTATTTGCAGATGGTTATGTTAAGAAATCAGTTAAATCAAGCTCATCATCATCACACATACCAAAACCAATAAGCCACAAAATGATCGT